CGACTATTTGCTGAGTTTTACTGGGTCAGTAACAACATACGAAGGGTTTAAAATACCCTTTAATTTTAACTCAAATATATTTACGATGGACTCACTTGGGCGTACAAATAACCAGCACTTAAACTTAAAAGTAGAAAACGGAAAACTAATTCTGAATTGCATAATCAGACGAAGCTGCACAGAAAAATTTAACGTGTAGTTGGATCTTTGGCTAATATCACTGACGTAGATTGGGCAATGCATGGGAGTAAATAGCAAACTTTTAACTAGTAAGGGCCGTTCTGTTAACTAGTTAGTCTGAGCTAACGAACACAACTGACGTAGCCGACCCATCTCCAAAACCAGTTTTTTTTTTTTCCCATAGGACAGCAAATTGAAAAATCTGAACTGAAGGCACAGCGGAACTAATCGACACATGGAACTGACTCCGTTAGCTCAGAAAAATCCCAGTGGGAATGGCCCTGTAGCAAAAACATGACCGAAAGGCAGAACACGATGTGTTTGTGGGGGTGAACTGGTTTTTTGGAGATGGATCGGCTATGTCGGTTGTCTCCGTTAGCTCAGATAAACCCAGCGGAGCTAACCGGTGCATGGAACACGGATCTCTCTAACCTAGCTCATTCACATTTACTGGAAGCGTCCATTAGCGACAGCCAATAAGCGAGCAGAAAATCGCGCGCGCTTTGCTTTGTTTACATTTCGTAGCTGACGATATTTCCATGATCGTAGCTGATTCATTCTTTAATAAAATCCCTCAAATTCAAAACCGCACAATCCATGTGTTAAACTACAATTATAATGTGAGGGCGTATCGTAAAAGGCCGCTTGCGATACTAAGAAATCTTTCCTAAATAACTAATTGTGTATTTGAATCTAATTAGCTAAAAAAAATATTATCTATATGCTTATCTCTCATGTATTATCATGCCTTTTTCTCATGAATGTGTTATTTATATTTATCGCACTATGTTTGCCCACTTATGTATGTATTTAAGTCATTTGATTTGTCATTCAGTGTATTTTCTCAATATTCCTTGCTGAGTATGTTTGTGTGTCAATTAGATGTAGTAACCATATTTGTATCACATATAAACTCTCTTGCAATTAATGGCATTTCTTTTTAAACTTTGCACTGACTTGTATCTCCGCACTTGAACCTCCCTTCGCCTAATTGGTTGATCGGCTACAACCGTAGCACACTGGTTATCTGTCGACTCATCACTCTATTCGTCATGGACTTACCTACTAGAATATGCCTATATTGCTCACCTCATGCTACTATTTCTCCATCGTCAGATACTTTTTAGAAGCTACATGAAATCGAAAATCGGCATGCAGTTACCTCAGGGTAGCGCCAAAAGCGCGGGAACCTACCTATGTGCGAACAAAGTTTGCCTGAGCCGACGATATTTCGCCTTGGATCTTTGAGCGGTAATGCGAATTTTGAGCGGCGTTATTGTTAAAATGGTTCGACCGAAACGTATTTTGTTGCGTAATTTTTTCTTGCCGCATATATATTGTATGAGACATAATTTTGTCATCTGTAACACATGAATATTAAAAGTTTAAAAGCATTGTCCCAAACTGTTACAAGGCAAAATTAGGAAATGCTTTAAGTGACATATTTCATTAACTAGAACACAATTCAGATACAGTTTTCACAGCTTAGTTAGTTCAAAGTAGTAACGGCAATGCCAGGCACTTCAGCTAATTTAACATAATTAGACTTGTAATTTCCAGTTTTTTTTTATATCCTTCCATTCTTATTACATCCAGTTTACGTTTATTTTCACCTTTCAAGTATCCAATTTTTGTTCTTCTGTTTTGACAATGCGAAGTGAGAAGTCAGCAACACAGAAATGGCAGAAACAAATATAAATTCCGAAATACACTGTTCGACATTGAAAATGCAACACCAAGAAGGAGTGATCAGAAATTTATGCAAATTTTAGAGTAGACGTATGTCACCGAGTTATACGAATGATGTGAAATGCGCAGTTCTCCGATGCACGTGTAGTAAGATATAAGGGAAGGAACGTGCAATATTCGTGTCGTTATTTCTGCCAGACGAATTATCGAAGAAAGTTTGTTTTTGTCCCGAGGATACGTGCAATAGGAGAGAATGCCAGGCGGCCGTCAACGAAGGCACTTCCAGCAGATAGACGATTTTACGAGGGGTATGGTGATCGGACTGAGAAGGGCGGATTGGTCCTTACCTCAAATCGCAGCTGATACCCACATGGATGCGAGCACGGTGCATCGGCTACGGCGAACATGGTTGGAACAAGGAAATGTGGGAAAGAAGGAGGGGTGCAGGTGCAGCCAGAGTGACGTCAGTACGTATGGGTCGACGCATCCGCCGACAAGCTGTGGTGGTCCGTACAAGTCACTTGTACCGCGATTCTGCAGCAATGTGCAAGATACCCTGGATATTCCCGTCTATCTGTGCGACCAGAACCATTTCCCGTCGATTGGTTGAATGTGGCCTGCACTCACGAAGTCCGTTAAGAAGACTGCCATTGACCCCACAGCATAGACGCCAACGTTTAGAATGGTGCCGAACTGGAGCGATGTGGATGACAGAATGGCGAAACGTCTTGTTCTCAGATGAGTCACGCTTCTGTTTATCCAGCAGTGACGGATCTTTGATTTTTCTGATGTGGAGCAAAAGCTAAAACTGCCGCCCTCACCCATCATCCTTTAAGTTTCTCTAACAAGTTTTGATTTGTTTTAATAAATACAGAAATAGATAGGGTTTGAGGTAAAACACCTAAACTCCATTTTATACTAAATTCTTTACGTACATTTTTTTTCTTAATAAAGGAAAAATACGTACCAAAGCTACATAATTAGAAAATCGTCCCCTTCTAGGAGAATCGTCTTTCTCGTGAGCTTACTTTTGGATTCAATCCTAATCCTAATTAATCCTCCAGTCCTCGCCACCGTTTGTTTTTTCCGCTCTAGGGGGAACGGGCATCTCCTAAGCTTCTCACTATTCCGTATTATTGCATACTGGTTAAATTAGGTTAGGTTAGATTATATGAATATGGCTCGCTCTGTATTCTGACTATCATTTTGAAATAAAGATCCCTTATTGCTGCTTGCTGTCTCTTTTTTCCAAATTTCATCACTTTCTGACCACTCCTTCTTGGTGTTGCATTTTCAACATTGAGCAGTGTATATTATATAGTATTTATTTAAATAAATGAGAAGACCTATATCCATGGTTATTCAGTGCACAGGAATAACAGAAGATCTTGTGCCCCTTTCTGTGTGCCAAGAATGAAAAATGTTTCATTCTAAAATTTCATAACATCACTTTGGTGCCCCTGATGGATGCTGTGCCCAGGGACAGATGTCCCCCCTTGCATCACCCTAGCTACACCACTACTTAGTATCTATGCCTTCCAATGTTCTATTATAAATTGTAAATTTTACTGCGGTATCCCTCGTACAGCAACATGCTTGCACCAAAAACATAAATGACAGCAGAAGTATGTAAAGATGATTTCTAATTTAGATATTTGTTTGGTAGCATTAGAAATGATTTTGTAAGCATTAAAAGTGAACTACCATTAATTTAACACATGACACAAGCTCCAGAAACATAAAATACTCCAAAAAAATATCAAAGGATATTTTACATGAATGGTATGATATTTTAATTAATATGATATGATTATGGTATGATATTTTAATATGATAATGATTAATGGCTGATATTTTACATTAGAATTAGTTGTCTTTGATTGAGCAAGTATAAAAGCCACTCAACAGTTTCCAAGCATCACTAAAAAAAAGAAACTAATCATTCTCTGGTTTTATTTGGCTGGAAATTCATTATCTATTATTATTACCTATTATTTATTAATTAGACAGCTTTCACTAACACTTATTAAATTAAGATCAACTATAAATATGTGCAAATTGGCTAATTATAAAACAACTAATCTGCCTTTTCTTGATTGTCATGAATAAATCTTTGTTTGACGATGGAAAACTGGTTACACTAACTACTGATAATGCTATTTGTTAATTTTCATAAGTATATGGTGAGTTAAAATATTAAATGTATTTCATAACATTCAAATAATAATATTTTTCTATGTAATACTTAGATTCACATGACAAAAAAATTTACTCAGATAATTAAGCCATTTACTTTTCAAAACTAATCCAAGCTTGAGAAGTTAACTGATCGTCCCCTGATCAGAATAAAACTGATCAGAATTCCTTAGTAGTTCTCTCTTCTCATTTAGATTATAGATAAATCAACAGTCAAATAATTTCTAAAACCATTTTGAGTATAAACTGCTAACAAATAACGTTTGTATAACAATTGCAAGCAGATGGAGCTTTTATTTCTAACTAAAATCCTATAAAAAGTATGCCTTTTCTAATTTAAGTATATTTTCATCAAATTAGTTAAATTACATTAGCACTACTCTCAACACTGAACGTTCATTCAGTTTATGTTAAAACAGCTGTATCCAAACATTATCACACTGTAGATCAGAATTTTCTTAATAACCCAAAAAATATTTTCTCATCATTCTGTGGATTAAACTTATGCATGAAGTTCTTTGTACATAGCACCACAACTGTGACTGTCAACTGAATTCAAGGGTGTAAACAAAATGTGCAGAATTAAAACTCATATACCATATTTTAATATAAATTGCCAAAGCATACTGTTGATAAACATTCAAATATTGTCTTTACTTATTAATTTACCTTCTTTAGCCATGTTTTGAAAAACTATTTGTTCTTTAGGAAACATGTATTTCATAATTATGAGAATACACAAGCAGTTCAATCTTTCATTGTATTATGTTTTATCTTATGTAGGTCCCTAAAATATTTATTGTACAATAAAATTTCTTACAAATATTAATCACACTTTTGATCTGGACTGCTCATTTAATACTGCAATTAAAACATATGCAATATATTTTCAGTTCTACTTCTAACTGGATTAAATAATTCAAATACACCAACCATACTAAAACAATGAAAACTATTTATTTAAAATTACAATACATAGAATATACACATAATATCACATATATCTTCCATATTATTAACAAAATAAACAACTTTTATATTTCTTTTTACACAAATATTTTCACAACTGCAAGTTACTTCATTTGTTAAGTATCTTCTATTAATCACTCACATAAATAACAGCACACTTTGCCAGTTTGTGGATAAAAGCAATCAATATTTACCTTGATCAGTTTGAGCATTTGTATACAAGCATTTCATATGTACATTTTATACAGTTCAAGTTTGACCATGACTAATGGTAAGTCATGTCTTTATAAATATTTAACAAACTAAAAATTAACAGACAGCAATATAACATATACACCAAAAATGTACATCAGACTGCTACTTTTGGATTAATATGATTGTTCCATCACAGTTGATACCAGAGAAGCTCGATGAAATATTTTATAATAAATTACTGTATTTTCATAAATTGCACCATTCCTTCTTTAAAAAAGTCATATATATAAATAAGTGCTGCTAAATTGAATGTACACTGTCTTCATAGGACATTCATTTCAACTAATAAATTAAAATTATAAATATAAAATGTCATAATTACGGACATAATAAAGTTATGCATAGGATAGGTTTTGTAATCACAAATATTATTCATGAAAACATTTTAAAATAATATTCATTCTAATTCATTTCATCTAGTTTAAAAATACCAGAAATAATTATAATACATTTAAATTAAATATAATTTGACTGCCTTATTACACAAATTACAATAATATATTTATAGGAACTAAATCTGTTTTATAAAAATTAGCTACAGTCATAATATACAATAATTTTTACAAATTAGAATTTTCTTAAAAGTTATTCATGTTCTTATTATGTGAAGGAATATAAATTCATGCTTGAAACAAAAAGCGATTTATTATAATTACTGAAATTAAAACTTTATAAAATTTTAATTATGTTTTAAATAATGTATGCATTAATACAAAAAAAATATTTTTAAAAACTTCAAATATTGTACACTTGTAAAAAGCACACAAGTCATTATGATGCAAGATAGAAAGTCTACTTTAAACAATCAACAATTTCAAATTTCAGCTTTCATAGTTATCCAGTGAACAACCACTATTATTTATAAATGAATCCATAATGTCCATGGAAAAAATAGTTATTCCAAATAGTAATAACATTAACAAGGAAGCCTTTGTATGGAAAGTCTAATGGTATATTTTAAAGATAGTATCTTCAGCAGTCTGAGCAATCAGAGCCAGCTGAAATCAAACACTGAACAAAATGCATATAAATCTCTTCTAGAATTCTGCATCCCAACCTGTAACATCATCTACTGGTGGACCACTAGCATCTGGGGGATAATGATCAAAATTACCAGTATCAAAACAATTCCTGACCTATTATAAAAAGAAAAGAAAAGAATTTATTTCAAAAATATAAACATTATTTGTAGTACAATGCCAACTAAGAACTGTACCAAAATTTTGAGATTTGATTTTATTTTAAATACTCTTTCTTTTAGTATACATTTGTTTATTTCTTTTAAACTGCCTTACATGCAATTAAAAAGTCTTCATTCATATTTAGATACTTTTTGCATAAACCTTTCTCATTTTTGCTTGAATCTGCCTAGTTTCATAAAAGGTACTTGGTTTATATAAGTAAAACATATTTCAGATAAAATTTGCAAATTTCATATTTTCTAATACAAACACACATAAATATGCAAAGAAAAAAACCACAAATTATAAATCACTCCATAAACAGCTTGCTCTGGACCTACACAATATTTTAACACATAATGTAAACTGAAGCCTCTAAAAGAATTATAGCATTTGAGAACATATATGGTCTCAATATGCATATTTGATAAATGAACTAAAAAAATAAATTTTGAATTTTTGTTTCCCTTCAGAAAGTATCAACAGTTATCGTAAAATCAATCACACAAAAACAGTATTTTCAGTTGTTAAACACTGTTCTTAGTTTTATTGGAAATATTCTTATTGGGATAACTGGTGGTTTGGTTACATGTACAACTGCAAAATTGAACGCAAACGAATTTATTATAAATCTACATGTAGTTAAATATCATAACATATACTACTAACATTATCAACAACAAATTAATAATCAATATTAGAATAAAATAATCGCAGAAACATCAATTAAGTAATCAGATGGCTGTCAAAAGTAAGTTATTGTCTTTATTGTACGAAGATTTTGCTGGCAGCAAGAGTCGATCCAGTTGAGAGTTTCAGAGAATTATGTTCTACTTGCTCTGTCTAGTAAATTTTCAAACTGAATTAATTATGCCCCTTTAATTGTTCTGTTGTATTTTAAGCCCTCTGATTCATTATAGTTGGAAACAAAATCAGAGAAGCTGCAGAATCACTGGTTGTGACAGATACAGTGCAGATAGTTAAAATCCTCTGACAACTTTTCTGAAATTGGGACCATCAGAATTTCAAGTGGAGACATTATTAAACAAGTTACTGCTCCTTTAATGACACAGCATGTTGTCTTGCACCTCTTAACTGCTCGACTTGCTGTCAGATTGCAAGCTGTAAGGATACATGAATTTCTTATCTTTGTGTGATTTGCAGGATTAAAATCAATTTTATTTAATCATCAGCATTAAAATCACTATTAACTGCTGATATACTATATATAGATTTCTCGTTCTGATTTGCCAAGCTTCAATTACATTACTCAGAAAATATAATCATCATAATAAAATATGATTGAAACAGACATAAAATATGAAAATCTTTGATTTATAAAATTTATTTCTCCTTCAATCAGCTAAACTTTAAAATATGAAGCAAGTATTTGAATATTTTACTAGAAAATACATGAAATTATTAATATTAGCATATACACTATTACACATGCAAAATGCAACATAAGGATAAGAGATATCGAAGACAAATTTCTTTCAGAGATTACACATAGTATGTAAATTGATTTGAAATGCAGCCTCTTTGAGATGAGGAAGAAGAGAAAATCACTAATGACTGTTACATCCATGTTATTCAATAACCGCTACTAGACAATATGGGATTGAGTGAAAGAATGCTTTGAATGTGTTGTTGGGGAAGGGAAGCACGTGCTGCTTCCAAACAAAGCCAAATTTTGATTTCCCTGAAAAGGACAATTCAAATGCATGCAATGATTCTCCCTTGGATGAGCTCAGAAATGTGCTCGAATGATGCTCATGTTTTTCTGCGAGGCATACTAAAGTTGCACACACACACACACACACACAAAAAAAAAAAAAAAAAAAAAGATCTCATGAGAGAACATTTGATGTTATTCAAAATGGCAATTTTTCCTCTCTTTATATATGGATTGTAAGGAATGCTGTAGTCGCCCACGATGTGTGTGTGCACTGAACTTATAATCACTTGCATATTCCATCACATATACATGATGCAAGTTTCATGCTGCTTGGATACTTCCTTCATGGTGTTGCATTTTGATGGCCAGAAGTTCATAAATAAAACTTTCTAATTCTTATGAAATTTTTTCTTTCCACTTTAGCAAAAGATGTTTATTTTCTTATTTTTGTCATGTTAATTTATTTTACATGTTATTTTACACTTCCATATAGCAACTTCTGAAAGAGAATCATTATAATTTTTTTATTTTCAAATCTTGTTTTTGAAACTTAGCAAAAAGTTCTCTTCCCTGCTTTTTGAATTGCTACTTTACCATCACAATGCTGATGGTACACATCAAACATAATAGTTTTGTATAAGAAAAACATGTTTCTTTATTAAATTCAAGTACCTGATATGAAATACTAGTTACACAAAATATAAAAATATTTATCTCAAAAACAACAATGAGACATAATTTTGTTAGGAGTCAATTATAATACTTTTAATGAAAGTGATTTGTAAAAAATTAAAAGCAGATTGGTTTATATTTTCATTAAAATACTGCAATTTAAAATAAAAGTTATGAAGACATACCCTAGGTAAAATAGGAGGCATTAAATTTCGATTGGACAAGCCATCCCAATTGAATCCATCAAACCACCTAATAAAATATACATCAATATATTAATTGTTGATAGAAATGGCAAATGGGAAATTAATCAAACAATTAAAAATATTTTGTATGATATTTTGCCATAACGGGTATGTAACTCTTCAAAATAGTCCCCCTCCTCCCTTTTTTAAAGCCCAAAAGAGATGTTAATCTCGAATGAGATATCAGTCTCGAAATGGCATTTCACTTTGAATCACTAAAAACGATGTATCACAATTCAAATCGTTGCCATCAAATATTAACACCTTGTATTATATTTTAAAAAAATAAATGACGAAGAATCTGCATGAATGTATGCATGTTTCTCGCATTGTGAAAAAACAATGGTAGCTACAGCCATCAAATTTGAATAAAATAGTCCTCCACCCGACTGCGTAGGGCCGGATTTAGACTTGATGAGGCCCTAAGCTATTCAAGATATGGGCCCTTTATAAATCTGTTATACTACATTTTAATACTATATTTTAATTTTTTAGAGCCCCCCAAGAAAGTGGGGGACCTAAGGTATAGATTATGTGGCTTGTACATAAATCCTGCACTGCGACTATGGGCATCTGGAAGCCCGAATTTTTAATTTGTTTTATTATCTATTCCATACTTTGTAAAACTTTCAGGAATTTTTTATTAATAAACTCAACTATTTCAAAGCAAGCAGTGGCAACTTTGTAAGGAACAAAACATTTTTATCTCCAACATGCTGTCTATCGGATATTCCAAAGATATGCTATTAAGTATTTTGTGATTTTGCTGTTGAATTAAATTTTATATCGTATAAGCTCAAAGAACATGATATTTAATAAAGTAAACACATAGAACATTAATAATAAAAAGACAAAAAGTAGTTTGTGAAGCCATCTTAAAAAGAAAACATACCATTAATATGATGAACTGAGAAAAGACTGAAAAAAGAAAGAAATAAATAAACAGAAAAATGTTTGCTAACATTTAATGCTGCATCAGGAATTTTAAATGTATACTGCTAATTGTTTTAAAAATTTTTGTAAATTTTTTGTAAATTAATTAAATCAAAGAAAATGAAGCTTAATAATAAAACTAAAAAGGCAGGGAAAAAAGTGTGGGTTAGTAGGAGTAAGTGTAACAGCAGACTTGTAGACTGCGAGGTCAGCAAGAGTGTAAAAAAACCTTAGCAAACCCTTTTGGATGACCTTTACAATCTGGAATCTTTCAAATTTTTTTAAGCCGAATTTTCAAAGAAAATTTTTGAAAAGAAGGAAAAAAATGAGAAAAATGATTTTGTAAGATTTTTAACTCAACTTTCTCAAAAGAAAAATAATACTGAAAGTTACATTGCTATAGAAACAAAAACAAACAATAAAATATAAACTTACTTGTGCTTCTGTAATTCTTTGATTCCACCTTTTTGATAACCTATTCTTTCTGAAGGATTGTCCCTGAAATGAAAACATTCTAAGCTGCCATTCTTTTGAAAAGATCAATAATCACAAATATATTTAATTACTACGAAAAGTTTAACGTCAGAATGTCTCAGTCACTGTTTTTATAATGAAAATTCAGCATCTAATAAACTTAATATTTCATGCAAACCAAATTATTGTCTCTGCATCAATTTACATATTTTAGGAACATTTTAAGGGCCTTAAATTTCTAATTAACATTATTTGTTAAAGAAATCTCAGTGAAAAATATAAAGTTATTAATAAACAGTTGTTTATATTTCAATAACTTCAAAGTGGATCAAAGGGAATTTAAGAGTACATTATAAATTTTTGGATACAACATTAAAACAAGGAGGGAGATATTTTAATTAACTGCAGTAATTACTTTTAAATATATTTTAATTTATGGAAAATTGAAATTGAAAATATTATCAAATGAATATGAAAGGATACCAGAATGAATACTATATGAACGAATTTCTATGTGACCAATGATGATTGGGCATGGGAAGGGATCTCAATAAGACAAAAAATCATTGTATACATACATACATTAATTATATAATATTCTACACTAATTAGTAATCAAAATGAATTCAGTTATAGGGATTTTATATATATATATATATATTCAGAGCAGGAAAAAGGATAAAACAACTGTGCCCTGATTGGAATTCATATATTAGATCATTCAAATGTCAGCTGGAGATGCTATCACTTACACCAAACAAGTGACAATTAGTTATATGCTCTGTCAAACGGCGATTCATTGAACCAAACCCAGATGGTAACAAATTATCAACTACCATATTTTTAATTCAGGCAGCCTGTAAAGATTATCAGGCTTTTTTTCAAAGTAGAAAACATGAGAAATCAATGGTGCCCTTACAATTATTTGAACCACGAATCTTCTAATCAACCCCTGGACATTACTGTTAGATTATGGAAGCAGGTACAGAGGGATGTAATAATTCTTTGTGCATTAACTGTCAGCTTATTTTAATCAAGATTTAAAATAATTTTCAGAGCAACAAAACTGTAGTATCACTGATATTTTGGTGCAAGCACATAAAATAGTGCTTTAATAATTTACTGTAAATATTGAAATTTTAAAATGCTTTACAGTAAGAATTTAAACACTCATATGGTAACTGTATTGAGACCACTTGTAGGCTGGTCAAATCAAGCACAACCATCACACATAGTAAAAAGATAAAATAGTACATGCAACAAAGAAATAATCAAATGTAAAATATTTTCAGGTAAAAAAGATTAAAATTTTCTTACATTTAAAAATTTATATAAAATAAGAAAGAATTACTTCAAATTATCTTCCTTAAAATATTGTAAAAATTAATACTAATGCTTAAATTTTTGGCCTTACAATTAAAGCTTTTAATCAGTGTTTACATTCTTCAGACATGTCCTCATTTTCAAGAATTAAATTTATGTCTAGAAGGAATTCTCAGGGTCAAAGCAAATGTCTAAAATCGTAATCTGTGTGTTTTAATTTTGTTAAATGCTTGGCTTTCAAATAATGAAAGTTAAAGATTTACTTAAAGAAAGAGATAAAGGTTTGAAAGCAGAGAATAAACATTTCAAAAATGCTGTCAAGAACCTTTATGGTGGTTGCTTAGAATATTCAGTATGTAGATTGAGTCATTTAAGAAGTTTCCTTGTTTGGGTTAAAACTTGAAAAATTTTAATGTAAATTGACTAAATTATCCATTGACTACATAAAAAAGGAATTAACAGTGACAACAGCAAGCATCTTAATTCTACAGTCTTAACCCCTTTTTGCTCAGCGTAGCATTTCACACATTCGTCGTTTTTCTGCCCGGACAATCAGCATTACACGTCATACAACAAACAGCAAAATAGCACACTACTAGCCTATTTTCTTCATATTATTTTACAGTGAGATTTCCTGCCGTGAATCGAATGATTTCATTGTGGTTTTTATGCTCTGCTGGTCAAGAAAGATTATCAAGCTGTTTTCAAGCTAAGTTATTTTCCAAAACATTTTTTACATATTTTTAATATACCTTTTTATGTACTTACTTATCCAGTACCTCAAAGCCTTTATATTTATCCAGTACCTTTAAATATTAAATATATATAAAAAAAAAACTTTTCTAATAATAAATTATTTACTTACTACTTGGCAGCTTTAGCACAAGTATTTGGCTTTTTAAATTACTCGTAATTATTTGATTAATTAGAATTTTCATTATATGTATATGTCATGTTTTTCAAGCGTACTCGTGATGGCATAGTGGCAGGCTGGGAAGACGAACAGATGAGGCCGACACAAAAATTAATTAGACGAATTCCCAATCAATCTTTTATTTCCATGCATATAAAATCAACTCAGTAGATATTTATCCAATCATAATGAAATCTGATACATTTCTATGATTTAATCATAACGAAATACGATAAATTTCTATGTATCGGCTTTTAAAAAGAAATGACATAGGCAGTTAAGCAAAGGTAAAGCGATGTTATGCTGACAGAGCAGCAGGTAGGGAAGGGAAGAATGACGCAATTAATTCGCCAGGTGATATTTATACTAAGTCTGATGTAATTGTAGAGACAAGCTATGATTGGTTAATTTGAGGTTGTTATATAATCATGGAAGGATCTCAAACTTGGGAGAACAGATGAACTTAGGGGAAAGCACCAAATCTAGAATCATTAATTTCGAGGCTGCCAATTATGTTTAAAAAAGCAGCTATTGTATTTTATTATATCTTATATATATATTGGGTGAAATTTAAAATTTGGGTGCATTGTTGAGAAAGCTGGAGATCAGTGGATGGGATATTACATGCATAACCCCAGTAAATCAAGTAAAAGATACATTATTGACAAAATGTTTTGCATTTCGAAATTCAGGATAGGATATATGTTAATTCTCAGCAATAAAACAATTTTTTTTGGGGGGGGGATCAAAAATTCGAAAAGAAATTCATTTAAAAATGGGTTAAAAGAAATTCAAAGCTATATACAAGAATAAAGAAGCTAAGTCAACAAAAAATAGGTTGGGTATTTAAAATTTTTAAAGTATCAAATGTCACTATGAGCTCTTGAAAATTATACAATCCTTCCTTGCCATTCCTGCCTACAATGAAAATGTGGATAGACTTATTTTCCTTAATAGAAATGCAATGGTTAAGAAAAGGAATTACCTTACTGTAAAGTCAGTGGAAGGATGAGTTATAACAAAATGTAATATAGTATATTGTTTCAAACACTTGCTACAGCATCCTGACACTTAGCAAATCAAATCAACATAGACATATTTAGGACCATTTAAGTGAATTATCTTCTACTCAGACATAAATGAATGACATTTAATTAAACAACAAGTTTATTGTTACAGTTATTATTTATTTCTATATGCAGTCAAATTATAATATTTTATGCTGCACATTAAACATTCACTTTAAAATTAAATTCACTTTGAAATTAAATAATTTTCATTGATTGAGTTAATTTGTATTTGCAAAATGTTATTTAGGGTGATTAGTTTTGTGCCCTCATTTTTACATTTCAAGATATAGACACCATACCATGATATCCTTAATTTTAGGTTTCAGAAAATGGTACCTTTAGCTTGATGATTAAATGGTATATAAAAAGCATAGAAATCATAGAAATTACAGTGAGATTATAATTACAGTCAAATACCGAAAATCCGCTGACCTGAAATTTGCGTTGCCTCTCAAAATATAAACATTCAGTTATAGGTTCCGGAAATCGCAACATTGAGTACGAAATATCGAAGAAAAAATACTTACCGAATAATGACATCATAATTACCAAATCATAATGAGTCATAACGGAAATACCAAATTATTGACATCATGATAAAAGTTTTTTTCCCTCTAATCTGCATCGAGGTAAAAAAAGCAGATGATTCACTCAACTTTTCTTTCAAGTTCACGATTCATGTTGTTGTATTTTCTGAGCTTTGTTATTTCATGAGATTATTTAGTGTTGCCTTTTTTTTATCCGGATATTTTGTGGATAAATTAAGAATATTTTAAATTTCAGCCCTTTTTAATACAATGACAGATAACAAACGCACTCATGATTTTACTGTTGCAAGGATGAAAAACGTAAACACGTTGCATTGATGGTAATGCAAAAAAATACAAGTTCTGCTAAAGATGGAGGCAGGTTCCACTCCTCGGTTTATAGCAGAATCGTATGGAATTGTGGCACGATTGTGTATGATATACGGAAAAATAAAGAAAAGCCGTAGAAAGTTTACAGCAACGGTAATTCTAACACCGGAATCCGAAACCAGAAATCTTTGCGTGAGGCAAAATCGGCAAAGCTGGATGCTGTGTACATATAATACAATGAATATGAGAAGAGAAATTGTAGTTAGCTCGCCAAAAAGTTAACAGGAACTATGGCTCCAAGAAAAAGTTCAACACAGTCTTTTAAAAAAATGACATTGAATGAGGTGAAATATTAGGGTATATGTGAAATAAAATGTAAATTATAAAACACAGTAAAATATTTATCGTTGGAAACAAGCTAAAGGCAAAATATAAAACATAGTAAAAACCAATTGATGGAACAAGTTAAAACATATAAAAATTAAAAAGCGGAAAATGGTAAATTAGCTCAATTCGAGGTCCACCCTGGCTTTTCAAGGGAAATTTTTCTGGTTGAACGTCGAACCAAGCTAACTCCATTACGCATTTCGCCGAAAGAGACAATTGAAACTTTGCGTTACGAAATTTTTTAATTAATTAGATAAACTGTACTAAAAAAATATTTTTTAGTCTCAATTCTCTGTTCTAATTTCCCGACACGTCTGCACAAATTAACACATTAAGGTGTAAAAAATGTAAATGCAACTCCAATGTACAGCAATAATAATAATAAAAATAAAAATAAAAATAAAAATAAATAGCGGTCTGCTATTAGTCAAAATATACAATAACGTACGGGCTGGACATGCAAGCTTAAAGAATTAAAACTTTATAAATGAATCTGAAATTAAATTTAAAGGAAACCTAACAGCGTGGGTCTTGCTAAGACCAAGAGAAAAAATCTTGTAAAAGAAACAAAAAACAGAAAACAACCAATTTATATATGTAATAATAATTTAATGCATATAATAAATTATTGCAATAATGTATATAATAATTTAATTAAATGTATCTAATACACCTTATTTATTTTGCACTTTGAGTCTGAATATTATGATTTATCTTTTCTGTCCTGAAATTCGCAAAATCCTAAAATCCGCACAACCTCTGGTCCCAAGCTTTGCGGATTTCTGGACTTCTACTGTACTATCAAAATATGAAAAGATTACATGAAAGACAATAAAATCAGATATATACACAATGAAACAAACATACCGACATAATCGCTTTATCAAATTCGCTGCATGTCTAGATACTGATCTAGGAAACTCAACTATGTCAATTCCTTTCAAGATTATATTATACGTCCTCATAGGATCAGGACCAGTAAATGGTGGTCTGAAAAGAAAAACTGAATTAGTAAACTTTATTACATGATTTGGAAAATTTCTTAATAAAATGTAAGTTTATTGATTCTCTTGACAAAACTTCTGATAAATAAAATTTTTGAAAAAAAATAAACTGAAAAAGACTAAAAATCAAGTATTTGAAAATGTTTAATTCCAAGAAAAATTATACAAATATTTTCTTTGCGTTTATTAATAAGTTTTTATTCACACAAAACTGCAGACCTTTTTGATAAAAATACATATATTTCTTACTATCTATATCATGCTAATAGAAAATTGCAGATTACTTTTGTATTCAGAAGTTAATTAAAAGTTAAATTCACAGTATTTTTTGTCATTTATACTAATTTAATGATTGGATACAATAATTATTGCAATTAACCATTAATATGACTTTTTAAATTACAAAAGTTTTTAATTAATTCACTTCTTTGGGTAGAGGTGAGTATCCTAATCAGTTTTGTTGTGACTTTTCAGTCAATTTTTTAAATTTTTTTCTGAAATAATTCTTTTTTTTAATTGGATCAGATATACTCAACCATGCTTTTAGATTCTTGAAATTTGTTATAATAGAGTTTTGACTCTCTCTCTCTACATATAGTATTTTAATATGTAGTTATCATACATATATATATATATATATATAGTATACACAAATGCTGATATTGTATTACATCTTACAAGTTGTGGTATACCTAACTTCTTGTTTTATAATGCAGACTTTAGAGATTTTTTGAACCACACGATTATGCATTTCAAATGAAATATCATAATTTCAATTCTATTTCCCAGTTTAAAGACTGAAACTATCTTTGTTCCTATTTTAAATGTTATATATCAACATCCATATGAAATTAACCAAAATTAGAATTTGCTTCTTTTTCTAAAGGAAAATATTTTACAACAATTTCTATACTCTCATTTGCAAGTACTTGCAGTGATTCCTGCAAACAATTTGGATTAAATTAAAAAAAATCTCTTTGAATATAAATTTATTAAATAATGTTCCTGTTTTTACATTTTGCTTATAAAATTACAAAACAAATTCAACGATTTTAAAACAACATACAATTAATGGACAAACTTTTACATATGAAATTTTCCTCTAGATATTACAATTTACTCTAGAAAAAAAATAATCCTTGTTTTTAAAACTTTTTACTTTTTACTTTTATTCCCATGTTCATTTTTTCCGATTCTTACTTTTAATGTTTTCTTTTTATTCTGTATCTTTGTTCTTGTGTGATACTTGAGCTGTTTTATATGTATGGATTGATTATTCCAATAAAGTCATATGTAACAACAACAACATTCTATAAACAGAAGTTATAAATATCCTAAATAATAATCATTAAATATAGATACTTACGTGCCAGTTAACAATTCAAACATGAGAACACCTAAAGACCAAAAATCAGCAGATGTATCATGGCCACGATTTAGAATGACTTCAGGAGCTACATATTCAGGAGTACCACAAAACGTCCATGTTTTGCGACCATTTGGTAACTTCTTAGCGAAACCAAAATCAACCTATATACAAAATAATTATCTACAATTAAAATAGAATATCAGAATTTTTGACAACGAAAACAAGAATATTGGAAAAGAAAATTACTGCATCACGAAATAACTGGCATATGTACTAAAAGTAATTTTATATCTTTTATATCCACTATATTAATAAAAAGGTAAATAGATAACAAAAGTAAATCAATTATTAGAATCCTCACCAATTTCACATAACCTTGAGAATCAAGAAGCATGTTCTCTGGTTTCAGATCTCGATAAATAATATTTCTTGAATGCAAGTAATCAAAAGCTTCGACAACACAAGCAGCATAAAAGCGAGTAGTAGAATCATCAAATGATCCTCTGAAATTGAAGAATAAAATTTATAAACAAATTGCTCAAGGGCTATTCAATCTATTATCATGCAATGAAATAGAAAAAAAAAAAGAAAGAAAGAAAGAAAGAAAGAAAGAAAGAAAAAATATGTAATTTTTGTTAATACATTCATCATATTAATTTTATAATTTCATTCAGTTTAAACATTTTTAAATGTCATTCATTCATTCAGGAACAATAAAAATATGATGAAAATTATCAATTTTTAAGATTTATTTCATTTCATTTTGCCCTCTTTTGAATGATGAACTTTTCTGAATACTAAACTGCAGTGTGAAATTGCTTCTTTTAGCTTCAGTGCTTTTAAACATCAGTAGGCCAACTTATCAAAAGCTGCTGTAGAGGACAGAATATGTACTCTGCATTGATTTTACTTGACTTAAAAATACACACACAAAAAAAAAGAGCATCTGAACTTTATCATTTAAATTTATGTGTAGTCACGTGGAGTGTGGACAGTTATTATACAAACTATGAAATTATATTATAGAATAAGCATTCCCATTATATGTCCTTTTTTAATAATGTAATTCTACTACTGTAGCCATAAAAGTATAAATCATGCATGTGTATGTGTGTGTATATATATATATATTAGACAAAGAGTAATAAATTTTTAACCACCATCAGAAAAACATGAAAGAAATGAAATTTAAAAACAGTACAATCCCGAAATCTCCCATTATAAAATGTAAAAAAACACCATTAACTCAGTGTTTTTAAACCCAAAGAAAACGTAAAAACAATAAAAAATACATAAAAAAAAGGAAGAAAAGGAAGAGGAATACAACCAAAATCTAATTTGGAATATTTTTGTTGTAAAACATTTCTTTAATACTATATTATATATATTGGATGAAGTCTATCAAAGTATTTCTGCTAATTGATTAATAAATGATTTTCTCATAATTTTTTTTTCAGACATTCTTAAAATATCCACCCCCATAATGGATTATCAGGACATTACAGCACAATGTGTAAACTTTATATATATATATATATATATGTATATGTATATAAGACCATTAGAAGTCAAATAAATTAAAATACTAAATAACAGCAGTTTATTTTTTCATCTCAGCCTTGTCAAGCATATATTCACTAGTTGATTTTAATGTCTTTTATAATGTAAATTTAGAATCTTGCTCTTCTAAGACTAACAGTATTTGTGTAACAAGTAAACATAGTTACATTCCATATTAAAGAAATATTACTCATTTTAGAAATTAATTTATGCATCAGAATATATTACAGTTCTAATATTAAACCAGTGCAAGTTGGAATCTTTCATAAGAAGCACATTTTTAATTTGTATTCGAAAATACATAATTTTACATATAAATGTTTAAAAACCATACTTGAAACTGTTACAGTATCAAAACTCATTAGATTATTTCTACAGCAAACATTGATCACATATACACATATAAAGCTCTGTTTTAAAAACAAATAATTAATAATCATATATGCAAAACACTTAAAAGAGTTCTCAGTTTACAGCAATGAATGTGATAATTTAATGACCTGGATAGCATTTACGGGTTAATAAAGCTTTTGTTATGCACAGAAATTATTAGGTTACATGAAACAAAATTTAAATATTCTTCCACAATGGATGAAAAGGTTCATTCACTATTCCTTTCCTTCGAATTCCAATCTTTTTCTCAACTTTCTGACACCCACAACAGGGAAAAGTTTGTCCTGTTCACCAGAAATATGCAAATTTACGACCAACCACTGGAAAATTTCATGCATTGTGATCTAATATGGAGGAATTCTTTTTTATGTTCACCACGTTCACTGAGAAAGAGGATTGGAAAAGGGTTCAAAGGACTTCCAAAAACCTTTGATTACTAGTGGGTGTTAAAACAATAAATCATAAAAAATCACCTTTTTTTTTTAATCATGATCACAATATTTCCCTCCTTCTTCTACAAATCCTAAATGACCAAATCATTCTTAGAGATAAATTTCAGTGAGAATCATATAGCCAACTTTGTTAACCTTTCTGATATCAATGGATATTTTACAAATAGTATGTGCAAATTGAAATTTTTAATTCATTTCATTTAATTTTCAAACTGAAATGAAATGAAGTGCAAACTGAATTGGAACCAGGGCATGTGCAACAGGTGCAGCTGCACCAGGCGGCAGAATTTAAAGGTGGCAAAATTTGTAAAATTTAAGGAGTTACTGGATGGCAGATTCTTTTCAATATTTCAAATGCAGCTTAAAAGACTGTACTATTCAAATTAATGCCATATATTACATATTTGATAATGAGTAAGAAAAGTACTTTACATAATTAATATTAAGAATGCATATAAGAATAATTGTAAAATTTTTAATAGTTACATGTAAATAAAAATTACATAAGCCATTTTAACATGTTCAAAAAACATTTTTTTTTTATTTCATACCTGTCTCTCAGTAAAGTCCAAAGTTCACCACCTAAACACGCCTCCATTAACATATATAAGTACTTTTTATCTTTAAATGTACGATACAATCTGAAAAGAAAAAGTATAAAATCAGGCATTTTATTCAACAAAAACTGAAAGTATACTTATAATGACTATACCAAAACAAACAATAAAAATTATGTGAAATTAAGATGAGTAATGCACATATTTTACACATAATACATAAATGATATGCAAATCAAAGATATTTACAGCACTGCATAAAATAAAGTCTAATTATAGAGGATGATAAATAAATCCTTATGATGAAAAATAGATTAAACCAAAAATAAATAAAATAACTCTCATAAAACAATGATAAAGTAGAATGCAGCAAATTAATTGCTAAATGATAGAGTCAAGTACACCATTAAAAGCATTAGAAATCCCTTGTATGCATTACACTTATGGTATAAATGTTTATCAAAATTATCAGTTAAATACATTATAAGTTACATGGCATATATATATAAAATATGTAAAACAAATATATAGTCAAATATTACAAAACATACATTACAAAAAAAGATAAAATGTTTTACAATGTTATACAAATTATTTTAAATATCTCAGCATGCTAATCGATATGAAATGTTATGTTAAAATTTAAATGATAAATTAAAGACTCTCCCACAATTCAAGAACTTCTGTTCTCAGTACCTATAAGTTGAAATATTCATCAACTTATTCCCTGACCGTTCTCAGTATAGTTCTCATAAATATTAAACATGATTTAATACAGTATTATAACCTAAAATTTATTTCAGTGATTATGATAGAAGATGTTAGTCACATTATTTTCAATAATATTACTAATGCCTTTTGCATTTTAGACAATTCTCATCTCTGATAAAACGTCAGTTTAAATTACAGGACTTCCTGTTTTCAAGAGGACTAATTTTTGCGCGTAGTTAATGATGGAAATGTGTTAAGGGTATCCCCTTGTGCGGTTTCCGTGCGAACGATCATTCAGTGTCTGCTAAATCACTGGCAAGGTAATCATCAAAAGGAAGTTGTTAAGATGCCCCCCCCCTGTGTGTTTCCTTGTGACAATGATGTTAAAGGAAAGAAAGAGGTTTATGTGAGAGAATTATGCTTAAAAGGATGCTATAGGTAAGTCGCACCTTACGACTGTTTCAGAGCCTCATCAAGCAGATGTTTTTGTAATATAGCTGTATTATATTTTACTTTTTATTAATCAAGAAATCTTTATTAAGTTTTAAAATAAATATTTAAAAGACCGCTGGTCTGTTTATTCATCCATCACGGATGATCTTACGTTACAACATAATAAAATTTGCATACCTCTAGGGTACAGTTATCAAAAACAAATATTAAAAGGCTCACATTTATTTTTAATAATGAAACGAAGATATCTTTCATACAAGTACTTAAACACATACTTCACAATAAAATCACAATTTGATTCTTCCATTATAATTCGTTCTGATAATATATGCTGTTGTTGGCGAGTCTCCACTATCTGTGCTTTCTTCATAACTTTTAAAGCAAATGATTGTGTACTGTCATTGTTTAGTTGAACCTATAAGAAGATAATAATTAGGAACTGACTTTAAAATAAGAATAATTCAAATTAAAAACAAGAATACAGTAAGAATACCAGAAAAAAATTTAATACAGTAAAATATTATATAAGTAAATTTTATAATTATTCATGTGCTCTTGGTCAGTATTTAATTTTTAATCCAAGTAACTCTAAATATATGTTCCTTACACTAAATATAAACATATAATACGGGAGAAACACTTTTCAAGTCAACATGTAGTAAGTTGAAAAATGAGAACTAAAAATATTTGTGAAAATAAAAGCATATTTTGCTGTTATGGCTTTTAAAAAGCGAAATGCATGTGCATAATCTTATTTCAGTTATGCACTGTTTTTGTCACCAGGATGCAAATACTGAATAGTATGTCTATTATAATGAAATGTACTTTTGTACTGTTTGAGACTAAAACTATGAAAAATAATGTGAAGTGTGTATATTTTATACATATGTAAAATTATTTTTTGTTTATGCAATGAAATCATGATACTACAAGTTTTGCTTTTATTACAAAACTACAAATGAAAAGTTAACCCCTTCGCGCTGACTGTCACGTATACGTGCCAGCAATGAACACATTTATCTACCGGCCGACATGCAGGCGTGCCAGAGGATTGTTGCATTCTCTACCGACTGTCACGTATTTGTGCCAGTACCTTGGAACGTTTTTCAAACTATAATTTCTGCCACAAGATGGCACTGTATGTCCATATGGTTTCAGATACACGTGCATTAGACCTTCCTTCTACTTGAAATGAGAGAAGCATGACTCACATACACGTGTTTTTGATCATATAAACAAACGGGGAACTAAATGTTTTCGAATGGCGTGATTTATGACGTCTCTTTAAATCGCACTTTATTCGCACATGGTAGTTGCTTATTGTAAGTAGAAGTTTTATATGCGCTAAAGCATTGAGTACTTCCGTTTACAGTTCAGTTTTTAGAAAATAATTAGATCTTGTTAGACGTGAATTCTTTCTGTTTTTACCGTTTCAATGTCAAAGCGTCGAAAATGTTTAACAGAGCATGAAATAGCAGAAATGATGCAAAATATTTCAGATATTGATTCTGAAAGATTAACTGAAAGATATTTTCCAAAACTTTGTTGAGAAGAGATTGATAAGAAAATGAGACGACGATGCTTCGTTTGTTCACATTCCCGGAAAAATCCTCCAAAACGGCAAATGAGTTATTACGAGTTCAAGGAATGTAACGTAGGACTGTGTGTAGATCCCTGTTTTTAAATTTTTCATACAAAAAGAGAATTTTAAGTAATATATTTAGTTTTCAGATTATAATGTTAAAAGTCATATAATGGTGAGTAATTAAAATAAAATGTGTAAAATATGCCTTTAAACAAGAAATAAGGTAATTAAAGCATATATATATAAATATCTATAAAGCATAAGCTGTTTAAATACTCTATAGAGCATTATTAAACAATGCGTTGATACTTCGGAAATTTCATGGATTTAGGCTTAGTAGCAAAAGAGCCCCCCGGCCCTGGAGAGACGCTCGCGGAAGACACTGCCGGCCTCCGCGATAAGCGCGCGTTTTCGCTACCCAGCTCGAAGGGGTTAATGGACAAATATTAACCATTCTTACCATATCTCACAATAACATCATATCTGATTTAGATTTCTGTAATATAATTCTAGAGAAGAATTTGGGATAAAATTCTTTTATGTCATCTGAAATTATTACAAAAGCACCGAATTTTGTGACCAATGCCATTCACTGTAATGCATCTTGGAGGATAATAATCAATAGCATATAATATATATGAATATAAACAGACTTTTTATTATTCAAGTATGACATTTTGCAGTTTCATCAATAGGAATTTCATGAGAAAGATGAATAACAATGCAAATATCTAAAATAGAACTAAGCCACTTTAAAAAAAAGAAAAGTGCTTATTTTTGTTTCATTTTCAGAATGATTATTATTTGAACCATACTTAATGACAAAAACTTCTGCTACTTTTCTATAAATAAAGTAATTTAAGAAAATAACTATATTCATATCACAAAACTATGGAATAGTTAATTAAATGGGTACAGATTAAGCATGACTAGTTTCATGTTTAATCTGTGCACTGAAATTTACATGCAAATAGTTAGTGCAGCGAGTAAGTTCTTTTTCCAAGAGTGCCATACTTCTTATTTCTAAAAATTATACTTCAGTTCTAAATTTTCATGCCATTTTTCTTATTCACTTAACAATACTTAATAGTCTTTAAAACATATTCTTTTAATAGCTATTTAAAATTTTCTCTTTCAATACCTATAGTTTTATACTGCTGTAGTCAAAAATCTGAGTGGGTTGCATAAATAAGAACAGTTCAAATGGTACATTAAGTCAGTGTCTATTAACTATTCAATGAGAAATCCTCAATAATTAAGAAAATAACAGAAAAAAAAATTCCTGTGTTGGCATTTCAGCATTTTATACTATATAAGAGTTACATAATTCTGTGTGTATACTTACCAATTCAACACGACCAAATCCTCCTACACCAAGAGTTGCAACAATTCTCAAATCACTAAGCCTAATGTCAGAAAATTCTTCATTTGCTCTAAAATAAATTAACAATAATTATTACCATAGTTTGAAATAATTAAACAATGTCCAAAAGTTAGAAAATAACACTATTAACAATTAATATCATAAGTAATTATTAATAATATCATAATAAGTAATATTATAATAATTAAATACAAGTACACTTGCAAAGAATTAAAATATTTCAGCGAGCAATAAAATTGCAAGTACCAATAAAAATAGAAATAATTTTTTCATATGTCATTGATGTTTATCCATCAGAACTTCATGATTCAATGAAGCATTACATTTAACATTACACAGAAGAAACACAACTTACCTCAACTCTCAAATATGAAAGCTTGGTAGAGCAAGAAAAAGAGTAGGAAGAATGAGTATTTAAAGCAAAATAGTAGTTCATGCATATACAATTACATTAAGATATATGCTACAAACTTTAATTTTTTTATAGAAAAAAAATACGTTATGGAAAATGATTATCAGAAACAAAATATTTATGCGATGTTAAATATTTTATTGTTAATTATTATTGTTATTGTTATTTAATAAGTTAATGGTTAGCTTTAAAAGAAAGTAAGTTTTTGCCACTTTTCTCAATGCACTTTAAAATGACAGAAATATGCAGCAGAATGCTACAATGTCATTCAGTGAAATTTTAATTTAAATAAAGTTCTACATAAATTTTACACAGAATAATTGTTATGGAATGTTTTTCAAAACTAACTCACTATTTGAAATCTTAATTCAGTAAATATCTGAACTGATACACAGCTAATACAAAAGGTACAGAATTAATTAATTGCAGAAATTAGAAAAGGAAAAAGATATAAAAGCAAGAAAAGTAGACAGAATCACAGACTTTATTGGCATTATCTTAAATGACATACCACATAAGTACAAATACTGAGAACTTACTTCCTTCTAAAACTGGCATCCTCATCATACCTCTTCGTTTTTATTTCATCAATATGACTAATAAGTTGATGGAATGCACTAGAAAGAAAAAAATATGTATGTAAACATAAAATTATAACACTTGCAATAATTTTATTAATAAATTGCTTCTTCTTTTTATAGTTTGTTTTCTTTATTTAAAGAATTATAACACTTGCAATAATTTTATTCTTTAAATAAAGAAAACAAACTATAAAAAGAAGAAGCAATTTATCTCTCTTAAATAAAAGAAATATTTTTATTTTTCAAACAACACTATAAATATACAATTTTGCACCCTTGCTGTAAGGCAAGAAAAACACAATTCAATTTAAGTACATAATTAACCTCAAATTCAATTTTAGCACATAATTAACATATAATTTGTCAGTTATATAAAAACATAATTTATTCCTTAATAAAATATGAAAACTAAATATACATCACAAGTATTCCTAAAAAGCTGAAATTATAAAAATTTAAAGTTTTAGAATGTTATTGCCATTTCCATAGTACTACTAAAGTTTATTATTGCATAACAACACTGCAAAATAAGAAGTAAAAAAATAAAGACTAAAAAATGCCTAATAATTGTTTAACATATGAATAAAAAAAACATATTTCTGTGGCATGAAATTTTGCCATTAGTTTTTAATCAGATTTAGGGGAGAAAAATCGAATATCTTGCTAGTAGAAGAAAAAAATTATTTAATAGTCACAGCATTTATGAATAAATTATTTTCAAAAAGCATTTATTTAGGATTAAATTTTTTAAATTAAATTTGTACTCACAACTACTTCTAATACATTATTTCTGTGGTAAGTACAATATATGCATTACTATAAACTATTTTGCTTAGATAAATAAAAAATCAAATCAATTTTTATGTCAAAGTTTACTCAAAAAACAATGCAAATGTCAAACAAAAAGTAACATATTCAAATTGTGTCAGACACTAGCACCACAATCACAATACTCAAATAATACACACAGCATATCTTAATTTCTTTACCAATAAATGGAAGAAATAGTTCCTTGTTTTACAATGTAAAATTTAATATGCTTCCCAGACAGATCTCTTAAAAGGCTCAGCAATTGCTTAAGTATATATGTTCTCCCTCCAATACATATGATTTAACACAGAAACTGTTAAAAAAAAGACATATACCAGTTGTTGAACAGATCCCACTAAGCTGTAATGTTGTATAAAAAAAGTGTCTTAAATGATGTTTTTTCCCTTCTAACATGAAGGTGATTTCAAGCATTTTCTCTTGATGTACATTACTTTCTTAAGCTTGGCAAAATAGTTATCAATGCGATTAATAATAATATGCTTGCAAATGATGCAAAAACAAAATTTTAAATTCAGACTTTGGGAATATTATAATTAATATGCAGTACTGGCTGACTAAAATTTTTGATAACAGATATCATGATTGCTGTGAACATATGCAATCTACCAATAAGAATGAAGCTAGAAGTAAGGTTTGCTTTATGGTTCTTTACAATATCGTTGAATATGATTTCACTTGCAACAACTAGCAATACAGTTGCTAAGAAGAAACTCTTTTTACTTACTGTTTAAGAGTGCCAAAAGTTCAGACATATTATCTAACAGAATTAGTGCTAAAAGTTCAGACATATTATCTAACATAGGGGTCTTCAACGCATGGTCCGCTGAAGATATTTTAGTGGCCCCACATTTGAATTTGAAGAAAAATTGAAGAATTTTAAGAAATTTTGATTTCAAGAAAAATTGCCTTGTCAGCTTTTTATCGTAAAAAACCTTTTTTTTTTTTTTTTTTTTTTTTTTTTAATTCTTGACATTTAAAACATTTTATTGACATACTTGATATTACTTGAGATAAAATTTTCTAAAAATGACAAATTTTTCAAAAATTTCACTTTATCTTAGGTAATATGTGTTCCACTTGAACTTCAACTAGAATTTATAGATTTACAGTGTAATTCTGCAGTAAAATGCAAGTTTCTTAAAAATCCTAGATTCATTTATTTTTATTTAAAGTACATGACCAATGACAAGTATCAGGAATTTGTAAACATGCACTCTTCACGTCTTTTATCTTTGGCAGTACCTACACACAAGACAGCCTTTTTGTAAAATGAAAATCCTAAAATCAAAAACAAGAACACAGCTAACAGACAGACATTTGGAGGAAACTTTATGAATTACAACAACACAGATTCACGTTAAAACTAAAGTAACTACCATCTTCCACTAGTAATGTTAAGTTTTTTTTTTTCTTTCTTTCTCTTTTTTTTTTTTTAATTGCAAATGCATTTTGTAACATCGTTCCGTACAATCATCTTTATACTTTTTTTTTTTTCATAGTTAAGAAAAAGTTTTAAAACATTTTAATTTGACTTCTGTTTGACTTTTTGGAACCAATGTATATACATATACTATATATACTATATACAAGTCTGTAATGCTATCTCTTCGCTTACAATCAATTGTAGTCTTGCAAAACAAACCTCCATTTTTTAGATAAATTTTCTTACTATATTATTTTTTTGACATACTTATGACCTGCGTATCTTTGTGAATTTACTGATGTGGCCCTCGGATGTGAAAGGTTGAAGACCCCTAATCTGAAATAATTATTCTCATTTAACTTACTGGCTGACTTACTGACACACATACCTTCAGTAACATGAATATTATTATATTTATATTATTCATATATTTCTGCATCTAAGATGTTTCAAGTTATATAAGATTATATGATTCAAAAGTTTATGCCAGGAATAATATATTGGATACAAAGTATTTAATTTAAATACCAGTTTCAGCATGAAATAAAAGTCTTCCTTCAGTCAGCTTTTGAATAGATACTGAAAATTTGCAAAATTTTCCCTCTTTTTCTTAATACCAGGTTTATACCAGGTTTATCAAAATGCATTAAGCCTAATAAATTAAAGCAAACTAGCATTTAGTTATTTATTTTGGTCTAAAATGACATTACTAAATATGAACATGACTTACTCTCTGTCAATGACTAAACAAGTTACTCCTTCAGGATCATCAGCAACAATATTCGCTGTTCGAACATCCTCACTTAAGAGAACAGAAGGGGGAAAATAAGAATTACTCATATCTCCTTAAACAAAACATGAACAAATCAAGTCTAGATATTTTTAATTTAAAAGTTTTATCTTTTAAAGCAAATTATAAAATTTTTATTTTACTTCTTTTTACAGAGAATATGAGGAACTTTAAAAGCTATGGGGATGAATTAACAGAACAATTTTTTATAAAAATGAGAATACAAAAAGTTGCTAAAAATGAATGTTGTGATATTTTAAGCAAAAATTTATCCAAATAAATATTGGGACAAAGAGTGCATAGTGAAAATTTTTTAAACACACATGATTCTTACAAAATTTTGAGATCTCTAAAGATTAATTTAGAAGTCAAACAACAAAAATCAGCGTTATATTTTCAAATTTTCAAAGTGTGATTTACTGTAAAAATTTGAAAATATGACATTGATTTTTGTTGTTTGACTTATAAATTAATATTTGTTCAGTGTGTTAATCTTAATCTCTAAAGATGTTTAAAAATCATTTACATATTAACAAGCAAAAGGAACTGCATTTCCATAACAATAACTAATTTCTTCGAATATACTAAATACACAAAAAATTAAAATATTTTAATGTATAGAAGATAAAACATTAAAAAAAATTCAAATTTTTAGGATACTCTTTAATTTGTATCAAAAAATGAAATAAATTTGAAACATTTCCAATTTAAATAAAAATTTAAATTACAGTATTAATTTTAAATACAAAAAGTAATAAATAGCTATAACACAGCAAAAATAATTAAAATTTGTTACCCTTGCAAAGCCTTTTCTCCAAAAAAGTCACCATAACATAGAGTTCTGACATATTTTTCAGTTTGCTCCACGGGATCATTTATAGTAACTTTCACCTAGAATGAGTAATTTAAAAATGTTTATATTAAAATATATTTTATGTAAACATTAAATCTTACAAAAAATGTAAAATAATGATAAAAACTTAAGTGCTTTAAAAATGCAACAAGGAAAATGCACTTAAAAAAAAAAAAAAAAAAAAAAAAAAAAAACTTGTCAACTGGAAGTTTTTTTGACACTTTTCTATTAACAGGGCACCAGTCACCAGCGGTATGGCTAATGTTAAAACATTCAGTAACAGCTGTTCATTATGTGATATGAACAGGAATGAACAGCTGTATAACCTTAAATATATACAACGTCAAGGTGGTGAAAAATGCTTGATTTGTAGAATTCTGTGATATTTTTTAAGCAAAAACAGATCACTGTGTACATAGTGGCACATAAAATTCAGTGCCACACATTTGGTAATGTTCACATTAAACATCATACATATTACATGATACATTACTGTTCTTACAAGGTCAATTTTTCACTCACCAATGCTTACGTTTGGTGCTATAAGTGGTGCCCCGTGAACATTTTCTTCCTACACAAAACCTAAACATTAATACAGCTCTAAAAATAATTCTACATTCATATTACAATATGCATTTTTTATTAAAATTTCTTATTATACAAATCAGTGAAATGTATGAAGTCATTAAAATAACTTTGCAAATTTAAAAACAAAAGATTTTTAACTAACCTTGCCTCTGCTAATTATGAAAAAGGTATCTCCTCTAGCTCCTTGACGAATGATGTAGTCTCCAAATTTGTATGTTATCTAAAAATAATATTTTATTAAAATATTTGTTACAGCAAAATAATAACAAAAAATTATTCTTACAATCATATGATAATTAATAACAACCTTATAGATTCAATTAAATGAGCAGGTTTAGCAAATGAGTTTGTGACTACTGGCTCATAAACCAATATAAGCATACTTATAATCATAAAATATTAAATTAATAAAGTATACTACATTTAAGCACTATAATTTGAAATAGTCATACTTTAGAAAACTGCACTGCTATACCAAAATGCTGTATCTCTATAACAAATATCATTATAATATCAAAATATTGTAGCATTTAACATTTACTTCTATTTCATAGAAGGGTTTTAATTACTAAACTTATTATCAAATTAAAAATTTAGAAAATTATCAGCAATTAACTGATACAGTAAAAGATAAAAAAATCCATACAGATGGGCCCTGAAGTCATGTGGATTTTAGGCCACAGAATTTTTTTTCAAACGTGGTTTACAGCAGCAACACTGTTTAAGGAATTTTAGGGCCCTCAAAGATTGGAAGTTTGGGGTAGGGGTGCCTAATGAAGTCCTTGTAAAAATTAAATTTTCTCTGTCATGATCAAAATGTTACATAATTCATTATCACTACTAATTTTACTTTGAAAGCAAAAAATTATAAGTATGTAATATTTTTTGCATATTAATAATTTTGAAAATACTATTGCTTTCCACAATCACATAGACTGCCAATGTATTAAAAACTATTATGTAGTACTTTAATATATAAAAAGGCAAGAAAAATAAAATGAATTATAGGATGTCTAAAATTATAATATTAAGCGAATAGTTTAATACAATGAAAGAGAAGCTTAATATTACAAATATTAAGCTAAATATTACTAGATGAAGTGCTGATGATGCCACTAAATACATTCTAATGAAGTATTTTATTTTATAAATTGCTTCAGACTCAGTATTATTAATTATTGTAATAAATAATAATCAAGCATGCATGCAATACAGGCTTGGAGATCAAGCATGAAAAAATGTTTATCTACAAAAGTCCCAATTTCAATATACCTATGAATTTATTTTTAAAAGCGGGAAAATATTTATTAAATACAGAATTTTCTTTTAATTTGCTTCTTTTGATTTGCATTGCTTACAAATGGAAAAATGACCAAGATACATAAAAAAGTGCCAACCTCTTCTAAAACATCCGCAATCTTTATGAGAGTTTCTTCTTTCAATTTCCTAAATGTGGGTACACTGAAAAGAAAACAGAATAATTAATGTGGCAAAAATAAAAAGTTAAATTATTATGATTATGATAACAACAATTAAACAAACAGAAAAATTACAAAAAACACTTTACAAATTAATTTGTAATATTTACAATCAAACAGTATTTTTTTACTTTACAATTAATCATTACTTTATAAGTTATTATTATTTTCTACATTTCCACACTAGCAGGCAAGCCATCTTTGAAACTGTGAATAAACTGCTTCCTGCATAGTGCAGCCATCTAGTGGCATTTGCCCAAGTTAATATTTATGTGCCAACACAATAACAATACGAATTTAATAAATTATTAAATAAAGAATGCACAATTTTTAAGCTATCTGCTTTAGAAATAATAAAATATTTGTCCAATTATACAATCAACTACTTATTAAAGAAACAACCAAAAGTTTTTAATAAAGACCTTTTTTGAATTAATAATATGTTTTTCTAATAATTACCTTTTTAAGAAATCAGTGTATTGTGCTTGCCTAACTAGCCCAGTTCTCATCATGATAGTTTGGAAGCACTGCCTTTCAATAGCCCACAGCCTGCAATCACTAAGAGCTGAAAAAATTAAGAACATGTAAATTTTACCATTTTAGACAGCTTTATTTTTAATGAAAATTAAAAACTAAGTTCACAATTTTTAATTACATTTTGAACTATCATCTATCAATGAGGCATTTTCTTAAAGCATAATATCCAAAACTGTTGATAATTTGTTTGGAGGAATGACGAGGTTATGCTCCGTTTTAAGTTTTTTGAAGGGCATGTCTTGGTTTAATTTACGAATCAATTACATTTGCAAAATTTGAGAATAAATAAATACATTAAATAATAAGTTACATTAAGTATAAGATTGTGAAATTCAGCACACGCTCGGAAGTCTTCATAACGCAATTCACATAAAATGCATCATGCATTTGACATTCAATTATTATTTACTACATAATATTGGCAAATACTAGTTCTGTTTGGAACCTGATGCCTTTCAATTTTGCTCGTAGATTAATGGTAGCACTAAGACCAACACCGATCAGCAGATTATGATGTGTCCACCTCATTTCCCAGACATGACGAAGCAAAAATGTACTACCTCCTTTATCACACTTCAACTGTAAGTATCGTCAATATTTATTAATTATTTGTCATGTACACTCGTTTTAATTAAATAACTAACTTAGATTCGTCTTGCCTGTGTACTCATCCCCTAGAAACCAAGCCCCACATGTATACATAACACTAATTTCAAGTATAAAACATGTTAAAAACAGCAGTTTTTGTTCTAGGAGGAGCAAATTCAATCTCTCACCTTCGAAAACTCTCATCTGCCTTTTCCAAAAATACATATTTTGTAGCTGTAAAAATGCCCAATCCATTTTTTGGTCAGTCAGCTGGATGCATAATAATCTCATGACATTCATGAACCCATGTGATTAATCACCAAATATGATATCTCTGTTAAAATGAGTTAGAATTATCGCTAGACTCTTGGCAGATCATGAATACTCCACTGCTAAGGGAAAAACGGCTAACTTTATTTTAAGCTTAGTAAATACATTTTCACCTACTTCGACAATCAGCAGTGGACTATAACCATCACTATTATTGCGTGACATTTTTCTAACGAAGCAGCATAATTTTAATGCATATAATTATTCTAGTCTACCACGATGCACGAACTATGCAACTCACCGCATAACTTTTGCCGAGTTGCTAAGTTGGAGAATTTTGATCTCATAAGAAGATTTGATCTCATCATTTGATTTGATCTCACAAGATCTCATAAGCACCCGTTTTTTTTTTTTTTTTGTTATTTGTCAATGTAAGTAACACACTACATTAGCGTCGAAAAGAATCTGGTGCCCTACTTATACAGTTTACCTAAGAATAAATTTTATATATGCAGTGATTATTCAGAAGACAACTGCAGCAAAATTAATCAAAAATGCATAGAAAAATTACTGCCAGCAGTTGTAGAATGTTTTCTTGATTGCCTGACAAGCAGTTTTCACATTCAAATTTAAAAATACATTTTTAAGAAACTGTGAACTTGAGTACTGTCAAGTCATTAAATTCAACTTAAGTCAGACTTGTACAAGATAACATCCAGAAACATACTGTTCGCCTAGATTAAAATAGTGCTGAAGTAAAAATGATGTTTACTGAATTATAAAAAAATTTCTTGTTTTTTAAAAAAGAAAGAAAAACACTGAAACGTTAATACCAAATTGCACTATTAATATATTTTCTAATAATACCAACTATATGCTCTTTTTTTCTCATACTGAAATTACACCTAACTTTATTGTTTGCCATGTGTTTACTAACCCATGCTTGTAGAAACTGTCAATGAAGGGACGTGTGTCTTTAAATCACTTTTTTTTTTTTTTTTTTAAATACATTTAGCTATCAACAAATAACTGAATTTCTTCTTCCATTGAAAAATATTTCTATTAACAATAATACTCACACTTCTGAATGACCCCAACGACAACTTGAGGAAGACACCATGTGCTCATCATTATTTTAGTTCTCTGCTGCCTTTTAAATACTTTTACTTCCTTATTCTACTTAATACATTTCACCCACTTCTCCCTCTCCACCTTTATAAACTCTTTCATATTTCTATCCAATAAAAATTAAATAGAATATAAACAGCTTACACACGAAACTTTTGAACGAAAAAATACATTTTAATACAATAGTTCTCAAAACTATTCAGTCACTTCATTTACGGAATTGACATCGTTCGGTAATAATAGAATTAGTAAATACAAATTATAAATATAATTTAGAAGATTTACGTATTTAAAATATTTATAATTACATTTTATACCAGTAAATTTCTTAAACTATTACTGAAGTTAGCCCACACATTCCTCTTTCGCTCGAATTTATACAGAAATTCACAATTAACTAGATAACTATAAAAGTTTTATATATATATATATATATATATATATATATATATATATCGATCAATTATTTACTGGTTAACCAATTGCTGTTCACCGAGAAAAAGGCAATCTAATAGATTTAGCTTAATTCTTTAAATATAGAAGACAAGAAGCCTATTTCCTGAAAAAGGATGACTTGACACATGAAATTTTAAGGAAAAGCAGCTCATATTTATATTTATGACTGCAGGTTAGTTGGTTGGTAAATTTGTTAAAGTACATGAAGCTAGGGAAAACTGGCTCATTTTATGTTACACACGTGGGAAATCACGGAAACCGTCAGTCATCGAACCAGCAATGTCCAACGTTTTCATCCACTCGGCATACTGGTGGGCACGTTTACATATGAGATTAGAGTACTTCCTCTTACTTACCAGTAACAGTGGCGGTTCGTGTGCCGTTGTACAGAATGGCTAGTTCTCCAAATACTTTTCCAGGTCCTAAAGTACACAAGTAACGACCTCCTTTAGAAACTTCAATTTTGCCTTCTGCAAAATAAAGACTTTATACTTAACAAAAGACATTTTTGTTTTTCACTACCAAATAAAACACTATAAATTCAAATGCATTTTATACTTAATTATTGCACAAAAATTTTTAAATTGGTTTATGCATTATATTCATAATAATAGAAAATATTAAGCATCGAATTATTAATAGGTTAGCATATTCCTTAATTTTATTTACAATTTCTTCAAATACCCTTAACAATGAATTTTTATTATTATTATTATTTTTTTAATTTTGTATTCCTTACCTTCCATAACAAAGACGACACTGCCAACTTCACCTTCTTTAATGATAACGCTATCTTGGCCATATTCTACAGGATACATGCAGTCTGTAATTTCACGAATTTGAACGGTTTCTAAGTTTTTCATGAAGTCATTTTCCAGAATCGCCCTCTGAATAAGCTCTTTTGATCTAAAAGACAAAAGAAAGAAATTGTCAATATCCATGTATTAATTAATCAAAGAACGATCGATAATTCATCTTTAAAAACTTTTGCAAAAGTTCTAAATTTGATTTAAAAGGCCTGGCAGTTTAAAAAAACTAGAATAAGAGCCTTTCCTCCCCCCCCCCGAAAAAAAGGAAAAGACACCGCCTATTAGCTTTGGTAAACATTTTCAGCTTTGAATATACATTCCAAATAAAATTAAAAAAAAAAAAAAAAAAAAGAGACAAGAAATAACTTAGTTTTACTGAGAACTACGGATGTAAAATTCGTTAAAGAATAAAGTTAAGCTCCTCCTCCGCTTTGCCTTTTTTCTACTGTCTATACGTACTATTCTATTCAGAAATAATAATAAAAAAGTAAGAAACAAATTCTATAAAAAAATTCCTACGCGACCTTACAGCAGGTGGATACTGTTTAGCTATTATGGCCTTCATACAAGTTTTCACAATATTAATATTTAACATCAAATATCAATATCATAAATAAATATTACTCTCCTTGATAAATAACCGTACATTCAATAAACATACCAACAAATAACTAAATATCGTTTTAATTAAACTAATATCGTAAATTAGTAAAATAACTAAATATCGTAAATTAGTTATTTAAATCCAAAATATCGGATTTAAATAACTAAATTAACCTCACAATTATGCTTACTGAAAAAACACTTAAATGACGGTCAGATATAAGTTTTTGACATCAGAAAGTACCAATTCACGTATAAAATAAAAATAATGAAACCAACAGCTCACTTTTATTTATGGAATTCTCAGAACTGGAAATACTAGTGTATATTTATACATTTTTTTCTACAGCTGACTCATTATTTTACACTTCTCTGTCTGCACTTAGTATAGTTAAAATGTTATGAATATTTCTCAAAATCAGATGGAGGGAGGGTCATATTAATTGATGTATAGGATTAACTTTAAAATAATCAACCTAACATCATTATTAAAAGGAAGATAAAATTTTATTCTTTCATCATTATTCTTCAAAAGACTTTGCCCTTTTCTTGCATTTATTCAATAACAATACAAAGTTCAAATACAAATTCAATAAAAAAAATTCTACTTGGATTATATAAAAAAAAGTCTTCATTTTATTATCTTAGCTATTTCCGCTATTTAAACTTTTCTTTTCATTTTAAAATAACTTCTAATACAACTGACAGCAACGCTTATAAACGTACAATATGAAAACAACCCAATTTGCCTTAGAAAATCCTTCACAAAAGGCATCCTTCCCATTCAGCAGAAAACCATTGTATGCTTTATCATATTCGAATAATCTAACCTAAAATTAAGCAAAGCAACAACTTTCTTTTCGGCGTAGATTTAATTAAGATTCTATGCCAAATTTTATGTTTTACTTTGGCGTGTTTCTCTTCTTTCTTAACTTAAACTAACCTCCTCACCTTTGCAACCTTCAACTCTGACTGCATCTGCTCTTGTTATAGACAAGATTATGCAGTTTATGAGAAGTACACCATTATCATCTGCTCAAGCTCTAACTCAGTTTTTTGCATAGAAAAATCTAATGGGTGGAATATGTAAAGATCTTATATCTCAGAGTCGTAGCTTGGGTTTTCAGCGCCCAGGGACAACTGAAGATTTCACGCCCCCTACTGCTTGCCAAGGATGGAAACATTTAATTCTAAAATGTCGTAACATCAGTTTGGCGCCCCTTGGATTCTGCGCCCGGGGACAGATGCCCCCCTTGCCTCTAGCTACGCCCCTGTTATATCTAGATTTCTCTAACCCAAGTTGCCCACCAGCGGCCGAGCGGTAAAATCGCCGAACACTAGTAGTTCCGACCTGGGTTCGATTCCAGGAGAACGGGATCTGCATGAGTGCTTTCGTGGTTTCTCCCCCCATGTGTAACGTATACACGAGCCAGTTTCCCTTAAAAAGTTCTCCAGGAAGCCATTCTTCCTCTTAGTCAGATCATGGAGGTAGGAAGTAAGATGGAGTCGCCCTAAACAAGTTTTTCCCGTACCCAGCTCTGAAGCACCGGCGATCCCTACGTGGTGACCAAAACATTGGGTCATTTTCCATTGAGTTCTATGGGATTTGACGCGTTCGGATGTATATATTTTGTAATTACGTCGTAAATATACATATAAATGTATATATTTTCTTTTACTACAACACTTCAGAGTCCTAAGTATGTGAAAACAACACATTTTTAAACAACATTTCATTCTGAACGGAATTAATAAATGCCATATTTTTCACAGGACAGTTTTCTCAGAATGGTTTTAATTTGAATGAAATATTTTCACAAGTTTTCGTTAATTATATTAGAAAAAAAATTAAGGTAATTCGATTTTATTCGGTTAAGGTACAAAAATTAAGATCAAAGTTTATTGTATTATTAATATTAAAATCATGCATTATTTCTTTTCTATTTATAGAGCTTCTTCCTAAATACTTTCTTAAATAATACTTTCTTAAATATGACATGATGTTTTGGCTTCTGAGGCATCTTTTAAATCGAAAAATGTAAGTCAATTTATAATTAATGCTCTATTCGGTTCATTTTAAATTAGAGAATTATTAGAAATTAGCGAACGCTAATTCCTAATAATTAAATAGGTATTAAATAGTACTTGACTTTCTCTGAACATTTTTGAAAGGGAATAAAATAAGTTTTTTTTTTTTTTTTTTTTTTTAAGTATTATTTAAAACTTGTAACTGAGTTATTATAAAATGTAAGGGGAATAATTCTTTTAATTATACTTATCAGATTTTTTTTTTTACTCTTCATTTCAACAATACATATTCCAAAACTCTTTATTACGTTCTTTAAGTGCGCATCTCATAGCATTTGCTTTACAATACCTTTTAAACATTGCTTTCCAATACGAACAATTCTTGCTTAAATACTTTTAAACGTATTTGTCAACAGGATTTCAATAATTCAATATTAAAGGTTAAAACTGTTATATATTAGATAATATTTATAATCATTATAAATTTAGATATATTTATTAACTAGATTTCTTCACAGCACTTCACAGTTGCATTCACAGGAATAAAGTTCTTCATTTAAATACATTTATAAATATTTGAATGAAATTTAAGTATTTTGTTAAAGGCAAATACATGCTTTTTTGCACAAAGCATATGCATAAATATCCATTTATATTTGATATTTTTCATTTTCGGCATGTGCAAATCTTTAATTTCTATGCATTCAGTATATTTTTCAAGTAAAGTAATTTACACTAATTTAGCAACACCTGAAAGTTTTACATAAAAAATATATATGAATATTAATTTGAATGAAAAATTATAAGTATTATTTTTAATACCACTCAAAGGTCAGTTTTCTTCAAAATTCCTCCAGATGGCATCTCTCTCTTTAGGCAGATAGCCCTGCATGCGTTACTCTATTTAATAAAAACTTAATCTGACCTATGTGCCTAATTACAAAAATTTTAAACATACATAATTTTATATTTATAAAACGTGTAAGCCCAAGTGATTACTTTTCAGATATATAAAATTAAAACGATGGGTTTAAAATGAGCAGCAGTAAAGCCTCTCCTCTAAAAATTTTAAAAGGTACATGTTTACAAAATATATGGATGTGAAAAAAAGTTGTTTATTTAAAACATTTTGACGTTTGGAAAATAAAATAAACGAATAGCGAATACTCTATAAAGAGTATCGAAAGACATATACAATTTTAAATGTGCCGTGAGGGTATTTTCATTCTTTAAGTATAACATTTTCTTAAAATCTATTTTTGTAGTGCAACAGCTTAGAATTTTATAAAACAAATTCATAATCAAAATCGCTGTTGTTAGTTATCGAAAAATAACCAAGATGTGATTTTTGACAAATTGCTATTAGCCATCACACTGTGAATGTTTCTTTCATGCGAAAGTGTCCCTTTTTCGATTTCTATGTAACTGTCGTGTGTCGAAATACTATCAGAATCTTGTCAAGCGAGCTTCTGAATGTAAACAAAGAACACCCCATCTGGTGACCCAAGCTTCAAAGCAGTGCTTGACTTTTAGCGCGGGTTGGCCCCTCCTCCCTTTCCTATCTCCCTGAGTCAGATAGCCCTTGTGTCGATTGAGTGTTTCAATATATTTACGCTAAATACAAGGTTGTTTTTACGATTTTGATAGCCCTATTGTGTTTTGGCATCATCTACCCCCCCCCCCCAAAATAAAACTCACTAACGCAACATTAAAGAACTTTTTATAACCGATGGCAAGTGTTCTTCTCTCTTTTATTCCACAAGGCTCACAATAACATGTCTTATTCAGAACGAAAATCCGAATCCATTTAAGAAGAATTCGAAAATTTTTTCTCTGACAGCTTCACCAACTTTCATAATGGACGTAAGAATAGCAAAAGTTATCAGTCATTTATACTTAATTGATAATTATCAAGGTTAGGAAATTAAAAAATAAGCGTAGCATGTATGTATTTTAGTAATAATACGTTCATCTATGAATAAGTCTGAACTTTAAATGAACTGAATTACAGAGAAAATTAAGTAGTTCCCAACTTAATGTAATGAAATGAAGTAACAAAGAAAATTATGATTGCGAACAGTATGACTAGGAGCAAACAAGCAAACAAAAATAAAAAAATACGGTTTCGAAATTAAAAATTTAAATAATAATAATACGCAGCTTTTGTGAAAGAAAAAGCGTGAGTAAGAAACTGAAACAAAATTTTCAGAAATATTTCTAAATCTATTCAATTATTAACCAATTTAAAAAACGGAACTGCGACAAACTACAAAGAAAATTACTGTGGAATTTTTGACAGGCTTCTAGCATGAACATTGCACAAGTGGCAAGGTAAAGGTCGCTAGTTTATTTTTGAAGTAAATAACGTGAAAGATATTCATGTCTTGATAGGCGCAGTTGCTACGTGAATCTTTCGTGGAACTAATAACTATATCACAGTTAAACTGATTTTTCAAACAATGAAAA